CTCTGCCCGCGGAGGGCGAGGGCCTCGCCGACGTTGCGCTGGTGCCGCAGCTGGCGTGCGCGCTCCACCCGTGGGTGAGTCCGAGGCTGCGCGAGTCGGCGGCGCTGCGCCTCGCGAGGCTGCTCATGCTCGCGTGGAAGCGCGGCACGCACGACGAGACGTTGCTCTACCTGCTCGAGTCCTCCCTCGCAGCGCGCAGGCTCGCCCGCGCGCAGCCCCGCGGCGCACACTTCTCGGCCAGCTCTCGGCGACCTCTCGGCGACGTGTCGGCGATAGGCTCGCCTATGCGCTGCACGGCTTCGGCTCCGAGTCCGCCGCGGCTCTCCGCACCGCTGCGCCGCCCAACGGCTGGTCAAACGACGGCTTTAGCGAGGCGGCGGCGCAGGCGTGCCTCTTTTGCCTCGCGGTGCTCCCGCTGCTCGGTGGCGGCGCGACCGTCTTCGGGCGCGTCGTCCTCGACCGGATCTTGCCTGTCGTCCAGCCGCCCACTTCGCTGACCCACCCAGTCCGCGTGCGGCTCGCGCTCGCCTCGCTGCAGAACGCCTCGTCCGACCCGCGCGCCGCCTCCTGCTTCCGCGAGAGGGGCAAGGACAAGGGGATGCGCCAGAAGCTCGTCGACACGCTGTGGGCGGCGGCGGCGCTGCCGCACGCCGCCGCGTCGGATCTCGCCCTCGGCACCATCGCCAACCTCGCGGCGGTCGCCACGGCGCGCTCCTCGGCCGACGAAGAGCTGACCGAGGCCAGCTTCGCGCTGCCGCTGGTGATGCCCGAGCCGGCGGCGGTGGGAACTTTCCACCGCGAGCCTCCCCCGGCGCTGCCGCTGCCACCCGCGGCGGCGAGCCCGAGCGCCGAGGGCTACCGCGCGCTGCCGCGGCTGTGCGTCTCGCTCACCTCGCACGCGCCGCACGCGGCGCTGCGCCGCGCCCTCGGCTCGCTCGTCGTCCTGCTCAGCTCGCGCTCGCTCGACGCGGCCACCGCCCTCTCCCTCCTCTCCGCGTACGGCTGCGTGGACCGGCTCGTCGCGCTCGCGACGGCGCCTTCGGAGGCCAAGGAGGACGGCTCGGCAAAGGCGCTCATCCGGGACGCCGCCCTCGTCCTCCTCGGCGCCCTCCGTGCCTGCCCCTCGGGCGGCCCTCCCGCGGCATCGCCACCCACCACTCCTCCTCCCGCTGTAGGGCTCGTGTATGGGCTCGGAGGCGCGCGGCTCGTCGCGCCGCACCTGTCCGCGATCACGCCGCCGGCGATCGCGGCGCTGGTGTCGACCGAGCCGCGCGCCCGCATGGCGGCCGCCTTCTTCTGGCACGACGCCACCGCCGCCAAGGGGCCCGCGACCAGCCTCGCGCGAGCGACGGTGCCGGCAGGCAAGCTGGCCGGCGCGGGCATCCCCATCGGCAAGACGGCGACGGGCGGCGCGCCGGCCTTTTGCTCGGGGCTGGGCGTGATGCGCCGGCTCGCCACATCCGCCCCCGACGCATCGCCGGCGGATGGGCGCCTCGCTCTCCTGGCGGCGGGCGCCGTCTCGCACGTGCTGCAGCACTCGTCGCTCTCGCACTTGTGGACGAGCGCCCCCGACTCGCTCTCCTACCTCGAGCGGCTCTCGGAGGAGGAGGCCGCCGAGCTCGTGGCGCTCCCAATCTCGCTCGCCAAGGAGGGGGTGATGGTGATGGTCGAGGGGGCGGCGGTGGAAGGGGTGAGCGTGCCCTGAGCGCTGAGGGATCACCACCGACACTTTCGCGAGTTCTCGGCAGGTGAGCTACGCCAACACACCCTGGGCGCGCCACCCTCCAAGGCATGTGAAATTCATGTGTGTGATCTCTCTTGTGTGTGTGTGTTTTGTCTTCTCTCTTGTGTATAACCAAACTCGTTGAGACGAGAACCCTACCCAGAGATACATACGTCAAAGGGACTGCCCCCCGCCCCCACTTGCCCTGACTGCACAGGATTGCGTGCCGCCCGAAGACGGCGACACATATAGAGTGCATAGTGGGGGGGGCACCACGCACGAGGAGAGGGTGCGCGAAGGCAAGATTGGGGTGCTAGGTGGTGGGACCAATGAGGGGGGGAGGGCGGGGTCCTGTGGGGGTGAAATGTTGCGCGGCGAATTCGAGCCTCTACCCCCTCGCCGCGCCGATCCTCACGCGGAGCCGGAGGGTAAACCCCCGGGGGGGGGGGGGGGGAGAAATCACTTGAGAATCATGTAAACTCCAATTTTCTGAGCCCGGAAAGGACACACCATGGCGGGGACACACACGACACACTCACACAATTGGAGATGAAGGACGTCTCTCCTGCTAATAAAAAACGCGTACGAGGCGAACGCCCTGTGAAAGGCGCCATGACCTTAGGGGACCCCTAGGGTTCTGAGGGCCGGATTTTTTTAAGACCTTTTAAGAAACGAGGAGGTTTGGGGGCTTAACTTGCCATGTAAGAGATTGCAGGCACGGGGGGTCCCTCTTTTAAGACCGTTTAAGAAAATCGCCCTGGCCGGCATGCGTCGCTGGGTTCCGCGCCGTTTTCTCCAATACTGCCGTTATTAGGCACAAACCCGCCTCTGAAGACACATCTGTAAGTCTGGTGCACTGGCAGGAGCCATACTCGCATAGGGGACGCGTGCTAGCTGACTGTAGCCAGCTTCCCGGCCTCCAGCGTGTCTACCGGGAGCCTCCCGGACCATATCGCGCCTCGGGAGCTCTCCCGCACCTTTTAAGCGTTTAAGACCGTTACAGGATTCGGCGGCCCAGGCAGCCTTGAAACTGGCCCGGGCCGGTTTTAAGCCATTTAAGCCGCAGGCGCCCCAGGGCCCACCCTTTTAAGCCTAGGGCTAGGCGCTAGGGGTCCCCTCTAAGGCCATGAGACGCTTGTGCTGGACTGCACTCTCCAAGTGCTCCAAATCAGCCACGCCTCTCCGATGTGGCGAAAAGAGGGAAACTCGGAGACGACTGTTGCGACTGGAGACGGCAGGCGCGGCCCAGGCGGGCCGTGCCCGTGGCCGCGCGCGTGGGTACACACACAGACCTTCGTCAGTACTCAAGACTCAAGAGTTACGCGAAACCGTACCGTGCGTAGAGCTCTGCGTGGCCGGGAAGAGCGAGCGACTCGCAACGCCAACGGCTCACACATCATACTACCTCGCGCTCCATGCTGTCGTATCATTATGCCCCGCCATGGCTGTCAATGCTCCGCTGAGAGGCTGCGTCCCCTCCTCACGTCTCGCCTCCCGATTTCGCGGAGCCGGTCACAAAGCGGTCCCCGGCGGCGCCCGAGAGGGCGGAGAGGGCGGCGAGCGCGAGGAAAGTGTGCGCGCCGAGCAGGCCGTGGAGGGCGGGGAAGGCGAGGGCGGTCGCGCTCGTCGCCGCCCAGTTGAGCGCCACTGTGAGGGTCATCGCCGCGTCTTTTGCGTACCTAGCCACAGCTCTGGCGTGTGAAGAGACGCTGTTCACACCCCTCGCAGCCGTGCAGCAGCCCGTCACATGGGGAAGAGCGATGCGGCGAGGAAGCCTCCGAGGCTGCCCGGCCCGAGGGCGTAGCAAACCAGCGCGCACGCGAGCGGCGCGGCGAGGAGAGACTTGCCGCCCGCCATGGCTGCTACTGCGGCGGCGGCGTAGCTCGCGCTCATGCCTGCCCACGTGAGCAGCAGCAGGGTCCGGCGCGGCACGCGGCTGCGCAGCGGTCCCGCGAGCGGCGCGGCCGCCAGGTTGACGACCCCGAGGCAGGCGGTCGCCGCTCGGGGGTGGGAGAGGCCGGAGCGGGTGAAGACGAGCGTCGAGTAGTAGAAGAGGCAGTCGCAGCCTACGGCGAGGCCCGGGGAGGGGTCGGGGGGAGGGAGGCCCAAGTTGAGCCTCTCTCTCTCGAGATCGAGATAGAGAGGGGGGGGAGATGATAAGCTGGCGCCGCAAAGCTGGGCGGAGAGGGCGACAGCGGCGGCGAGAAGCAGCTCCCTGCGCAAGCTGCGCGCGGAGAGGAGCTCCCGCGGCGAGAAGGGCCCCTCCCCCGACTGCTCGGCCAACTCGGAGCGCAGGGCCTCCGTGTGGGCGGCCGCGCCCGCGTGGGAGAGGTGCAGGTGCGTCATCAGGTGGGAGAGGGCCGCGGCCGAGCCGGAGCGACGCAGGACGTGGGTTGGCGACTCGGGCAGGAGCGGCAGCACCGTCAGTTCCAGCGCCGCGCACAGCGCCGGAAGAAGGTAGACGCCACCCTCTCGCCCGCCGAGCGTCGCGAGCTGCGCCAGGAGGATTCCGATAGCGACGCCAGCTGATTGCGCCGCGCTGGCCACGCTGCGAATCTCCGCCGGGCTGACCTCCGCGAGGTGGAGCGGCGTCACGGCGGTGGCGATGCCGGAAGCCGCTCCGAGCAGGCCTCGGCCGGTGAGCAAGAGGAGGCCGCTCGGAAGGCCAGAGGTGAAGAAGCCGCCGGCGAGCAGGAGCGATGAGGCCAGGAGGAGGAGGCGGCTGAGGAGGAGGACCGCCTTGCGCGCGAGACGATCGCAGCGGGCACTCACTACCGAACCGAGCAGCCCGCCCAGGCCAAACGCCGCCACCAGGACGGGACACCAAGGCAGCGACGAGGAGGCGTCCGAGCAGAGGTTGTTTAATGAGCCGACACCCAGCCCAAGCTGCACGGTTGAGAGGGTGCCGAAGGCCAGGATGGCGGCCTGGCGGAGCCGTCGCGAGCAATCGCCTGGCGGTGGCGCGCGCGGGAGGAGCGGCTCGCCAAAGGCGGACCCGAGAGGAGACATGCTAGGCGGGTGGCGCTCGTCCGGAACGCACACGTTTGGCCATTAATCGCGGCAACGGAAGAGATGATATCGTGCTTGCCCAGGTGTGAACAACGCGTCGTGACCACGGCGCCGCAGGCGCCTGTTGATGGGTCCAGGTGATAGCCCTGGATGGGCAATGCATACGCCTAGTTGGACCTCAGATCGCCCGACCGCGTCCCGGTGCTCTGTGGTCGGATTTGTGACGCCGCCGCACCGCGCCGCGGCCGGGGGCCCTCCGGAGGCCAAGGATGGCCGTGGCGGACCGGGACGAGCTCTGGGAGGTGGAGTGTCAGTGAGTATATTGTAGAGACTGACCATGTGCACAATATCTCTCACTCTAGCTAAGCCAGGGGAGGCGATGCCGGGGCCGTACAGCAGCTTGATGGTGCTTCGCCGGCGTGCATCCCGGAGCGGTGCCGGACGGGGTCCCAGGGGAGGAACATGGAGGACAACGCCGACGCCGCTCTGATTCGACTTTTTACTTCAAACAAAGACAGTCGCACGCGCCGCAGCGCGGCGCGTGCGACTGTCAGGAGCGGATCCGTCAGTTAGTCGTGTTCACGCCGGGATCGTGTCCTCCACAACCTGGGCAACCAATTCAGGGCGACGAGTATATTCACACACATACACACACACATATGCTAGGCGGGTGGCGCTTTTTCGGAAGGCATTACAGGTGGCGGAAATAGAAGAAAAACACGAAATAACCAGAAAAGCCAAAAGAAAGGGGGCCACCACTAAACCCTGTCGCCTGTGCCTCAGCAGGCTCCTGTGGTGTGGTCGTGCGGCGTTGGAATGCGGAGAGTAACTGCTCTTTGTAGTGTTCCGCGCGACTCTCTCTGTCTCACTTGAGTGTCACGTCTTCTCTCCTCCTTGTTCGGCGTAGCCGAACTGCGAGCGAAGCGCAGCTGCTCTGCCTCTGGTTTTTGTACCTTACATCTTTGTACGATCCTACGAGCTCGAGACCCCGGCGGCGGCCCCTACGAGGCTCAGCGCCGGCGCCACTCTCGAGTCCAAACGTGCGGTGCTATGTGTGGTGGCGGACGGTGTCTGTGCGGTTCTCCACCCTCCCTCCATGCCCTCGTGTCATCCGATTCCTTTTAAATCTCAGCAACATCTCCATTTCACTAAGGGCGTAGACGTCCTTAATTTCACTATACCGACGAACCGAGTAGTGAGCCACCCCTCTTCCTCTGACCCCAAACAAAAAACAACCCTGCTCTTCGATCCACACGTCACACCCTCCGCCCTCGCTTTTCATTGACTGCCAACTGCACTGCCGCCGACACTTGCCACATCACTGTTCCGCCATCCTCCCTCCTACTTCTTCTTCTTGCCTCTCTTCTTGCCCTTCTTCCCCCCCTTCTTGCCCTTCTGGTTCGCCGCGGTGACCGCGTAGATTTGCTTGTACAGCTGCGGGTCGAGCGGTCCCCACCCGCTCGTCGCGGACACCTCGAAGGCATGAACGTGCGTGTGCACCTTCTTGAAGAGCGTGATTAGCTCGTACGCCGTCGTGTCGCCGAGGGGCGCCCCTCGCATGTCAAACGAGCCGCAGAGCGGGTTCTCGTCAAAGCACGCGGTGAGCGCCTCGTGCAGCTCGCCCTCGATGGCGCAGCCCGTGTCGGCCACACCGAGGTGTGCCATCGCCGGGTGCGGCTGCCCCCCCGCGTGCAGCGGAACCAGCGCCCGCAGCACCTCCACCACGCCGCCGCTGCCGAGGTCGTTGCCGCGCAGCTCGAGCGACGCGAGGCTCGGCAGCCGGAGCACGCCGCCGGCGAGGATCGCGCCGGCCGCCTCGGTGAGGCCGCAGTACTGCATCGAGAGGGACGTGAGGCCCTTGTTTGAGGGCAGCGAGGCGCCGAGCGCCCTCGCCCCAGCGTCGCCAAAGGCATTCAGGTCGAGCTGCAGGCACCGCACGGTGGCATTGTCCTCCAGGGCGCCACCGATCGCCTTGCACCCGAGCTCTCCCACCCCGCAGTCATTGAGCTCGATCGACCGGAGCGTGCACGAGCGCCTCCTGAGGTAGAGCGCGAGGTAGGCGGCGCCGTCGTCGCCAATCGGCACGTTCCACAGCGCCAGCGTCTGAAGGTAGCCGTACGCCGAGAGGGAGAAGCCCTCGAGCAGCGCGCGCACGTGCAGCGCCGTCACGCCGCCCTTGTCGGCGGCCACCAGGTGCGGCCCCACCACCGCGCAGCCGAAGGCCGCCTCGCCAGTGCCGGTCGCGATGCCGAGCGGCTCGACGCCATGCGCCTGCGAGGAGGCGGCGTGCGCCTTTTGGAAGTTCTTGACGGCGTTCGCCTGCTTGGCAAGCTCCTCCTCGCTCGGCCCCTTGCTCTTTCCGCCGCCCTTCCCGCCCTTTCCCTTGGCCTTCTTGGCCATATATTGCTAAAAATCTCTCTCTCTCTATATGCGCGGCGCGAGCTGTGTCCGACCGGGGTGAAACGGCGCCTTAGTTGTCACGCAGAAATGCCCGCCTAGTTATTATGGAAAGCAAGATATGTGTTTGATGGACAAAGCAAGCGAAACGCATTGCGCCGTCAAGCGGCGGCCTCGAGAGAGGAAAAAGAAAAAATCCTGGCTCATCAGCGCGCCGCCCACCGCTCTGCGATGATACTCTCTCTGGCGGCTTCGCTGCCAAGCGTGGTGCTCGTGCTGCCTCCGACTCAGCTGCCTCCTACACACGCCGGGCTGCGCCCTGTGCATTCGCCGCGCGCGCTGGTCGTGGCTGAGGCCACGACGACAGACGCGTCACGGTACGGGATCGACCCTCGGCTGGCGAACCCGGAGGCGGTCGCTGAGGCGCCCGAGTGGAGCGCAGGACGGGTGGGAGACCTCAAAACGACGGGCGAGCTGCGCGCCGCGGTCGAGGCGGCCGCCGCGGATGGCGGCTTCGTGTGCCTCAAGTTCTGGCGGGAAGGCTGCGCGGCGTGTGCATCCACCGCAGAGCGATTCGAGCAGTCCGCGGAAGCCAACCCGCACGGCCGCTTCTTCCTGGTCAACTATGGGCGGGCTAAGGAGATGTGCCGCGCCACCGGGATACGGGTCGTGCCGGCGGCACACCTCTACGCGCGCGGCAGCTTGGTCGCGGCGTTGCCGCTCGGGCCATCAAAGTGGGAAGCCTTTGCGGAGCGGTGAGCGCGCCGCCCGTGTGCCCGGCCGAATCGGTCGCTCCCGATTGACACCCCGCCTTCCCGTCCCGACGTGGCAGGCTGGCCGCCGTGGCGGCGGAGACGTCCTGAGCACGGACCGGCGCTTGGGCAGAGACACAGAGCTGCTCTGCTGCTCTCTTGGGTCTCCGTTCCCGGCGGCTCTCGACCGTGATCTCTGTCTCACGAACCGGCCGCCACACAACCGCTGCTGCTCTGGTGATATACACACAACACAGATGTACCGTCCGCATGCTTTCGTCACCCACACCCTCTCCCGGGGATTACAACGCGTTCAATCAAGGTCCGACATGGGCAGGGGGGACGACGCGCCGCCTCGGGCGCCGCGCAAATTCTTTTCGCGGGGACTGCTGTCGGATCCACACGGCCAAGCCAGACAACCTGAGCCACCGGGAGGCTCTCCACTCACTGCTGTCGTCGGGTGACTCGTCGCTGTCTCATTTGGCGCCGGTGCTGCTCGGCGAGTCGCTCGCCAGCCTGGCTGCGCGGATCCAAGACTCTCGCCCTGCGGCGCTCACGCACCTCAAGCTTCTCGGGGTTCAGTCGCTGCGCGACCGTCAATCGCTGATTAATCGGGTCTCCCGCGCCGCGCGCGAGGGGCTCCTCCGCTGCTCCGTGCGCGCGCCCGTAGCATCCGACTCGTTGTCGGCTGTGGAGGCGGCGCTCGCTGCGCTCTCGGCGCTCACAGATCCCAAGCTTGAGGCTGCCGACGGCGACTCATCCGATGCATCGACTCATTCTCGCACGACGGCCGTGCGTATGGCGCTGCTCAAGGGTCTCGGCCTGAGCGACGCGAGCGCGCGGAAGCTGCTCGATCGGCAGCCTCTCGACGCCGCGGCGCTCGCGGCTCTGCTTCCGGCGGGCGAACTCGCTATTGCGTGCCAAGAGCTGGGTATGCCGGCCGCTCAGGCCCGCGCTGTGTGCGATCGGTGTTTGGACGGCTCACCCGCGACTGGCGGCGCTACGCCCGATGTGCCGCCGTCCACACAGCCGCCGCCTCCGCCGGCACCGCCGCCGCAGCCGTCCGGGCCGCTGCCACCGCCGTCGCCGGATGCTGCCTCGCGTGAGGCTGCTGCGAGGGAGGCTCTCCTCCGCGCGGCTTCAGCGGCCCGAGCCGCGGCGGCCGACGAGGCGGCGGTGGCGGGGCGGCGCGAGGCGGCGGCGGCGGCGCGGCGCGAGGCGATGCAGAGGCTGCGGGAGCTGCGCGCGCGCCAGCGGGCGGCGGCGGTGGAGGAGCGGCTCGAGATCGAGCGGCGGCGGCGCGTCGAGGCGGAGAGCGAGGCGGCCCGTGCGGCGGTGCGGGCCACCGTCTCTGCCGCGATTGCCCGAGCCGCGCGTCTCGCCGAGCCGCGTGCTGCGGCGGAGAGCAGAGAGGCGGCTGGCAGCAGAGGAGCTGGCAGCAGAGGAGGGAGGGAGGGAGCCGGTGCGGGCAGCGAGGCCGTGCGGCGGCTGGTGCTCGCCGCCATCGCATCCGTCCTCAACCAGCCTGCCCAGGCCCGCGCTGACGCGGCCGCCGCAGCAGCCTCCGCAAGAGCCGAGTCGCAGCCGCGCCGCCGAGCGCCGCCCGCCTCCGCCTCCGCCTCGTCCTCCTCCGCTGCGCGCGAGGGGCGCAGAGCGGTCCTCGCAGAGGCGGAGGCAGACCGGGCGCTGGTCCGTGCGCTGAGGCACCGCGGCACACCCGCCTCCGCCGCCTCCTCCTCCGCCGCCGGCTCCTCCGCCTCCTCCTCCACCGCCGGCGAGGGCAGCAGGGGCGACGGCAGCGGCGACGGCAGCGGCTTCGCGCACGTCGTGCTGCGGTCGGGCGTGAGAGAGCGGGTGGCCCTCGCCGAGTGCCGCACCGTCGCAGACCTGCTCGGGGTGGTCGCCGGGCTGGAGGGCATTTCGTGCGCTCCTCCCGCCCTCTCGCGCCCTCCCCTTCACTCGAGTCCAAGCCCTCTCACCCCTCCCCTCCCCTCCCCAGTCCCGATGCCCTCGTGGCCAAGTGCGCGTTGCTGTGGAGCGGCACCTTCCCCCCTCGCGAGCTGTGCGAGCCGTCCGAGCAGCTGAGCGCGGCGCTGCCGGGCTCGGTCCTGCGCCTTCACCCTCGCTTCGGCGGCGTCAGCTCCGCGCAGCCTCGGGCGCCGCCCCCTGCCCGCGGCAGAGGGGGCGTCGATATCGCCGCCAGCGACGCCGAGGGCGAGGCGTGGTCCTCCTCCTCCTCCTCCTCCTCCTCCTCCTCCAGGGCAGAGCCCGAGTCGGTGGGCGGCGGCGGGAGCGGCGGAGGGAGCGATGGCGGCGACTCGGCGGCCGAGGGAGAGCACGTGTCCCTTGCCAGAGACAGGCGGCAGCAGGCGCGGCGGCGGCGGCGGCGGCGGCGGCGGCGGGGCGGCGACGAGCCGGCGGCAGTGGGTGGCGTCGGCGGGCCGGCGACTCGGGTGGTCTTTGCCGCGGCGTCACCGCTCGCGCCATCGCTAAAGGGCTTTCTGTGCGGCGTGCGGCGGGCGGCGGGCAGCCCCTTTAGCAGCCCCGGCGTCGCGCTCTGCTTCGCGGCGGCGAGCCGCGCCGAGACGGCGGACGGCGCCGAGGCGGCCCTGCACCATCTCCAGCCGCGCTTGGGCATGCAGTCGGTCGGTTTTCTCTTGCCGCGGCCCCAGAGGCACGGCACAGAGGGGCAGGCGGACTACATCGCCGCGTGCGTGGCGGCCGTCTGCGCCGCTGAGCGCGGCGTGCCCATCGCAGCCCTCGTCAGCGTGGGCGCCGCGGCCGCCGAGCCCGTCCGCCTGTACGCGCGCCGTTGCACCGCCGCTTCAGCCGGCGACAGCGGCGAGGGCACGGGCACGGTGGGTGGCGGCGGCGGCCGCCCGCTGGCGCCAGCGCCTCCTCCTCAGCTGCGGCGCGGCATCCGCCTCGCCCTCCTCGGCGGGCTCACCCCCACCCCTCTGCCGGGCACGGTGGCGCCGGCCGCCGATGCTTGCGCCGTGCCGCCCGGCTGGCGCGGCTTGGCTGTCCGATCGCTCGGGCGCGTCGCGGCGAGAGCGGCGATGGCGGTCCACGCGCTCGCGGCGCGGGAGCGGGGCGGCGGCGCGTGCGCGCTGCACGTGCTCGACGACGGCACGCCCGAAGAGGGGGAGCGGTTCCTCACCGCCGCCGCCCGCGCCTTCAACGACTGGTGCGAGGGAGCGCGGCGCTTGCGCGGCCCCGACGTCGGAGGCGGCGCGGCGGAGGGGTCGAGCTTGCTCTGCGGCGGCGGGAGCGACGGCGGCGAGAGCGACGGCGGCGAGAGCGACGGCGGCGAGCGGGGCGGGCTTGAGCGCTCGCGCTGCGGCACCGCGCGGCTGCGCGGGCAGGCGCTCGGCTGCGTCGGTGCGGCGGCGGTGGCTGCGGAGCTGCGCGGCAGCGTCGAGGCTGCGGGCGCGAGGGCGAGCCGCGTCAGCGCGGTCGATTTGGGCGAGAATGAGGTTGGGGACGCGGGCGCCGCGGCGCTCGCAGCGAGCCTGCGGGCCGGCTGCGGCGTCACCTCGCTCCACCTCTCCTGCAACGCGATTGGCCCGGCCGGCGCTGCCGCCCTCGCGTCGGCGCTCTGCGGGGGCGGCTCGCTCCGCCATCTCCACCTCGACGCCAACCAGGTCTGCGATCTGTTCCGGCCCCGTGTGCTGCCCCGACGGCTCAGCCCTCTCCCCGCCCTCCACCCCGCAGTTGCGAGCCGTCGGCGCGGCGGCCTTCTCCTCGGCGCTGCGCGCGCCACCCGCGGGACGCCGCGCCGTGCTGCACACCCTCGCGCTCGACGACAACTACCTCGGCTGCTGCGGCGCGGCGGCCGTGGCAGCCGCGCTGCCTACCCCCGCGCTCGCCGCGCTGCGCGCTCTCGGCTTGGCTCGCAACGCGATTCGAGCCGCGGGCGCCGCGGCTCTCGCCGCGGCGCTGCCCGCGGTTGCGCTCGAATCGCTCGACCTTAGGGACAACGGCCTGGGCTCCGGGATCTGCGCGCTCGCGGCTGCGCTCCGCCGCAACGCCACCCTCTCGAGCGTCGACCTCGGCGACAATGGCGTCGCGGCCGAGGGGGTGGAGGCGCTGGCCGCGGCGCTGCAGGCGGGCAACAAGAGCTTGTGCACTCTTGGCACCGGCTTCATCCGCGAGGCGGGGCGCGTCGTGGCGGCGGCGGCCAGCGCGGCGGCCGCCGCCAGAGTGAGCGCCAGGGCGGGCGCGGGCGCGGGCGCGGGCGCGGGCGGAGGAGGGCTCTCCCCCGCCGAGGCGGAGGCGCTCGCCGGGCTGCCGCCGCCGCCCCACGTGGTGCTCGCCGCGGGATTGCGCGCGAATGCGGAGGCGAGCCGAGGGGGGGAGGGGGGGGCAGAGGGCTCGCCGACCGTCGCGGGGGCGGAGGCGCAGCGGGAGGGCGCGCCGCGTGCTGCGCCGCGCACGACGCTGGGCGAGAGGTACAGAATGAGGATGCTCGGCGGCGGGCCGGTCGGCGAGGGGGGGGGCAGCTCCGGCGGGCGTCATGAGGGGGTGTAGTCTATGCTGTCTTATGTCTCTCTCGCTGAGTGTGTGGCAGTGTGTGTGTGTGTGAGAGAAGAGCCTCCGCGATTATATCGAGGGCGCCGGCCCGCGCCCCGGCGGGTCGCAGTGCGCGGACCGCCGGAGACCCCGGACGCCGGAGGGGGACCGCGTCTACTGACTCGCCTCTGCCCTCTCGGCGGCTGACCACATGCGGCTGGGCGGACGCACGCGCTCGCCGGCTCGACCTCGAGGAGATCGGTCGCGGGTGGGAGCCGCTGGTGGCTGGAGACATCGACTTGGAGCACTTACGACTTGGAGAAGATTGCAGTTGGTAACCTTCTCTCTCACATCCAGCTTCCAGCAATCCAGGGCCGGGGAGCTATGATTCCTATTATGGAAGCGCACACCCGGTGGGGGCCCGCGGAGAATTTCTTTTGGTGCGCTAGTCGACGCCAATCTCCGCGCCCTTGTCGTGTCAGTGTGCTAAAGAACAAAACAAACCCTGTCTGCACGTCTCGCGCGCGCGTGAACAGGGCTCCAGGCCCCAAATTACGTGTGAGTGTTAGAGTTGTTTGGTATTGCTAAAAATCTCTCTCTCCTAAAGAAAGAAAACAAATCGCCCAAACGAGGGATGGGAGGAGGCCATCCTCCCTTGGGTTGTCGGAGTTCACCGTGTTCTTTCTTTCTTTCTTTAGGAGGACAGGGTCCCCCCCCACCTCGGTCCTCGCACACCTGCAGCTGCACGAGCAGGATTTTGGAAGGACGATCAGGAGCACAGGGGGTTTGGTATTGCTAAAAATCTCTCTCTCTCAGGGGGTTCTCCGGTGTCAGTGTCTCCTTGTGTAGTGCGCAAGAATTCTTTTGTGCATAATATACACGCTGGGTTCCGGCTCCTAGCCAATTAGGGGGTCTGTTCCCCATGACTCGCGCCAAAACGCCCTACCTACCTACCTACCCCCAGGCCGCGCAGCGAAGCGAAAAAACGAAAATAGGGCGTACCTACCTGTTGCGGGGCCCTCCGGGGCGGTCAAAACCGGACCTACCTACCTATTGCATCGGGTCTGCGCAGACCCCCTATCTGGCTAGCAGCCGGAACCCTGAGCGACGCCGTTGGACTACACAAGCTCGAGGCGACGACGCCACCTCCCTCGCCGACCATGCAAAAGTCGTTTGAGACGCACGCGCTCCTTACGGGCAACGCGGAGGCCAGGGCTGCCGAAGACACGCCCCGAAGGAGAGACGTCGGCTCACAGCTCCACTGCTGTGGACTGAGAGGGCCGCCTCCGCCTCCAGAGTGGGCGGCTCGCATGCAGTCCGTCTGGTGGTACCGCGTCTCGTCCTTCAGTTATTGCATCGCAGGTGCCGCCGCACCACGCTGCCACCGGGCCGCTCACGCTCACCTCCCGCTCCTCTCTCGTGTCAGGCAGCCTCGCCGCCGTGCGGCCCGAGCCGCTGGCCAGGCACGCCGTGCCTTGCTGCGCGGACTTCCCATTCCGCTGCATGGGCGTCGCCATCACGCTCAACGGCTTTGCCTCGTTTGCCGCCGATGTCATCCACATCGGCCACCCGCAGACCATCTGGAAGCCGATCGACGTCGTGCTCGCGACGGGCAACACGATCGTGCAGATGCTGATCGCCACGCTGCAGCTGCTGGGACTCACGTCCTTCCCGCCGCTGGCCGGCTCCGTCTTTGCCGCCTCGGTCTGCGCCGCGCTGTACTGCAAGCGGCGCTCTGCGCGCGCCGTCGCCGAGCAGGACTGCGAGGGCGCCATCTTGTGGCACGCGATGTGGCACTACTCGCTGCCGGGCGGCGCGCTGCTCGCCCAGCTGCTCATCTCGACCGACGAGAGCGACGAGGGGTCGCTGAAGCGGGGGCTGTGAGCGACGTGTGTCTCGGGGAAGACGCTAGATCTGGCGCAGCGGGGGTGGCGGGCCGGCGGCGCGCCGTTTGTTGAGGCAAGAAGAGGGCGGGGTGCGTCTTCAGAGGGGCTCTATACGACAAGCGCCACGGTTTTTTCCTTTCCACAGCCCCCACGCGACAACTCTAACAGGTTCGGCACCGCCGGGCACCGGGCCTCGGTAACTATACAAAATGCGCCTCGCGGGCGGAGACCCTTTACGCTTTAGCTTTACAGATCGCATAGATCACACGTACTCTCACACCCACAAAAACCACCGCGCTACGAGCAAACGCACCCGGGGCGGGCGCCTGGCGTCGCCGCTGCGCAAAAATTCCCGCGCTACGGGCCGCTGGCAAAACCCCCCGCGCTACGAGCAAAGACACCGCCGGGGCGGGCGCCTGGCGTCGCCGCTGCGCAAAAACCCAACACAACCCCCGCGCTAGGGGCAAAAATGCGCGCTACGCAAAGACACCGCCGGGGCGGGCGCCTGGCGTCGCCGCTGCGCAAAAACCCCCGCGCTACGAGCAAAGACACCGCCTGGCGTCGCCGCTGCGCAAAAACCCCGCGCTACGAGCAAAGACACCGCATGGCGTCGCCGCTGCGCAAAAACCCCGCGCTACGAGCAAAAACACCGCCGGGGCGGTCTCCTGGCTGCGCAAAGCCCCCGCGCTACGTGGCGTCGCCGCTGCGCAAAAACCCCGCGCTACGAGCAAAAACACCGCCGGGGCGGTCTCCTGGCTGCGCAAAACCCCCGCGCTACGAGCAAAAGAATTGACAGCGTCGGATACTAGCCACTATACTAAGGAGAACCTCAGGGGCATGCTGCCCCGTAGACTTCCCCTCCGGGAATTGAACCCGGGTCTCGACGGTGCTGCTTCGGACACCATCCCGTCTGACCTATCGCTCGAGCTGATGTTGATGGTAG